TAAGCGGCCACCGGTAAACTACATTATAGATAGACCTTATTTCCGATAATTAGAGACTACTTTTGTATGATCAAATTTCGGGGATGATATTTCAACAGGTTAAATATCATGCTATCTCTGTCAATATACGTCGAATTAGTGGTAACAGAACCATTGTTGAGACCGTCTTAGAATTGAGTGAGGTTTGAGTATTTGTCCATTAGATTCTAAAAAGAACATACCCTAGATCAAATCTAAGATAGGTCCAACGAATTTAGCCGAAAATTTAATGTTTTCAGTCCAGTATTCGTGCAAGTCTAGGATCGAAATCGAAGCTGATTTTTTGGGCGGACAGTTTTACTCATAACTGTCAGAGCAACGATATCACATTAACGAATAAAGATTCTTAAAAGTAATTAAAATTGGTTAAATTATAGACTGGGGACTTAAAATTTAAAAAGAGATCTGAAATTAAACCTCACTATTAGGTACGTGTAAAATATCTCGAAATGAAGGATTTTAAAATAAATATATTTGATGTACCTAGGCATTATACAATCCATTTTATCTGTACCATCTTCAGTGATTATGAAAAAGTTGTGCTATTTGATTTTGGTCGTCCACGAATAACAATTAATCAAGTGATCCTCTGGCTAAAGTACCTAAAGAAAATGTAATAGTCTAGTAATGTAAAAAGGTACGATGCGGTTAACATATCTGTGATAAAAGCCACTAAAAAATATATAGATTAAAAAAATCTACCTAAATTAAATTAAACAATAACACAACAGACTAAACATATTCATATAATTGTTGAACTACATAACCAAAACTACATCCTAATTGCGGAAAAAAACAGTGTAAAACATACCTATAACTACCAAATTTTCCTATGTTAGACAAACGAGTTCCTATTTTAGATAAAGGAAAAACAAAACATTGAAACTCACAACAACTACCCGGAAAATGTTGAAAAAATCCTCCACAAAGCGACCATCAGTGCCATACAGCGCATATTACTTCAATCGCAAACAACTCAAATCTCTTTACCCGCCCATTCATAACCCAGCCGCGGCGAGCGACGCTTTACCTAACTGTACAAGATAATTATAAATTTAATAGTTACCTGTGTACATTAGTAATCCAATTCTATGATAAAATCTATCTATAAAACAATCGGGTCGTTCGATAACGTAATGGCTCATTCATAATCAGACTGTCGGTCTATGCGCCACGAGGAAAGAAAGAATAGCGTCTGGAAAGTGGAAAGAAAGAAGTGTTTGTGTGTGAAAGTGTTATTGCCAAGTGGTTATTCATTGTCTAATAGTGATTAGTAATTTTTGTGATTGAAAAATTGAGCTGGAGATATTGGTACGTAAAAAATTATTTTCGCATGGATTGCGGATAATTTGGTGTAATTTAACTCGTCGAGTACCGTCATTATAGACACAATTATAGAACAATAGGTTGCGGTCACCGGTGACCGCTTGGTGTTTGATAGTTTACATTTAATGGTATTTTCACATGACCTGATAAAAATGTATTATTTGGTTTTTTTAAACATGTTTAGGTACCAATTTCTGCATTGACTTTAAAATTTCAAAACATTGGCTTATCTCAAATATTTTTTTCCTACATTAGTAAGAATAGGGCTAATATTTCTATGTATCTACTACTTGTTGGAGATTGAAGGCCATACTTGAATTTTTTAATTTCAATAACAAATAACTATTATTGGCATATTTCAAAAACGATACACATAACACATGTACGAAAATTGCTAAATAATAGTTATTGGCAATTTTAAATAAAAATCCGTTAACATTAATCGGGAATCTACATAAACTACTCGAATAGTAAAATCATCATACAATGTTACAACATTAGCAAAGTCGACAAACGAATCACACAGGAAGCCAGCTAAAGTAATTGTTCTTACAATTACTTTTTATAATTAAAATATAAATGTTTTCATTATTTTAATTGAAATAAACACTTCCTTGAATACGCGGCGGTAATTGCGACTTTATTTCTGCAATTTGTTAATTTTATAACACGCGATTAAACTTAGTTTTTATTTAGGTTATAAGTTGTATTAATTATTAACTTAATAATATAATAAGTGCCCGTACTTTTCAAATCTATCGGGAAACTGAATTCCTACATAAAAAGTTAATATTATTTTATTGTAGTGAGAAGCAAAAACAAAATTAATAAGTACATAAACGATTTTTTTTGTCAAAATTCTACAACCGTAATTTTAGTTTAGCAATAAATAGAAAAATAAATAATATTACATCGTCAAAAAAAAAAAAACGTAATACAAAAACAGGCTTCCAAATTCAACTGTCAAAATTCAAACGAAATTAGAACGCGAACCGAAAACGCAACTGCCAATGTCATGGCTGGTCCTTTACACATGAATAAAAAAAAACAAAATGAACCGATCAAAGGAAATTATTATTATGAACAATTATTTAGCGTGTTGTTTCTCTACGTGTACCATAATAACTGATCAATTATAGACATAACACCATAATCAGTGGTCAATTAACTTAATGCCATTAACTGAATTAAATGACACAATTGATTACTAGAAACTAAGGTCGAATTATGGTTAATCGCTTCGAATCACGATAGATACTTTTTATTTTTAAATTGATTGTTGAATTTTTTTGTTGTGTTTGTGGTTTTAGCTAGAGTAACTTTTTAAATGAACCTTTTTAGTTAGTTGGATGCAATGACTGCATGATAGAGTGGTCGCCATGTCACAATCTGAATAAATGGCGGTAAATCTTGAGATTGTAGTTAAATATTTTCGAAATAATTATATAGTCTGAAACTGTCTGAAAATTTAGGAAAAATCTTTAACCTATTCCTAAGTAGTTCTATATCTACACCTAACTAATTTTGCGATATCTACAAATGTATTAGGTACTATAAAAAAAAATCACACTGTGGAACCAGGGAACTAACATTTTTCATACAAAAAACATATACGTAATTCGATATCAGTCACTAGTAAAATAAATTGCCTACAAAGCTGACTTTTTGCAAAAGATTAACACGTCAACTTTGATGCAAAGGTAATTTATGATACATTGCCGCATTTGTTTCGAACGTGACACGCAGTGTTTGTAGCAAGCAACCAGTAATTAGCGAACAAATTGATTCTAACGCTAGACTGGCATACGTGGTAGTGTTTACAAGCTAACGGCTGGAATACATAAACAATAATGATTCTTACTTACTTTTTTTACTTTTAATTCTATAAAAGATATTTTATTAACTCGTTGGAATGGTAGTGTTATTTTTACTTACGAATTTTACATTTTGAAACCGTACCTAATGTTAATTGTCTGATTGCTTCAGCTTGTGTTGTATCTAAAATATGATCCGTTTTAGCCAAATTATTTAACTAAAGTTCAAAATTAAACTTATATGGAAATACTAGTTACACTACATAACGTTACTATCTATTTAAAGATCTCTTATATTGTCAACCTCAAAAAGAACTTTGAAACCTTATACTACTATATAAAGCTAAAGTTTGACTGTTGTTTTGTTTGTTTGATTGTTTGTTTGAACGCGTTAATCTCAGGAACTACTAGTCCGATTTCAATACTTGGTTTTGTGTTGGATAGTCCATTTATTGAGGAAGGTACTAAACATCACGTTACGATCAATAGGAGCCGAACAGAGCGGGTGCAACGGTGCAGAAGTAGCTAGTATAATAAGTCTAAAACGGGCTTCATTTGATTTCATAATTCTTAAAAATCAGCTTATCGAACAATTACAAACGAATTCATAATTCGCTGATTCACTGTTAAAAGCTGATCAATCTATTATATTGAATGAATTACGTCATTTGTGAATATCCACCAATTGCCTGAGTTAATGTAATTTATGACGTCACCCAACAACGCCCCAGTGGTTGGCAAAGTTACACCTACTTTTAATCAATTCTGTTTCAAAATACAATTTATAAAACGATGCTTGTTCATTATGAGCTACAGGACGTCCATATACTAAAGATTGAAGTGAAAATAAAAATCAAAAACATCTGAACTGACTCGTGAATTGAACTGCAAACTCGTAGAAACTAATTACAAGCACTCGCACTTGTGAGACCTCGGCCAATAAGGCAGTCAAACTAAATAAATACGTTAGGACTTATTCCCAACATGCCTTAGTTAAAACACAAAAAAAAACAATTGCAACCTAGTCTATTATTTAAAAAAAAACTTTGACAGCTAAGAACTTCATATCAACTCAGATGTCAATATTTTTTCGCTTGACAGTTTAAGTGAGACGTATGTTATGATACTGGCAGTTTTCTAGGTTAGGTTATAATTCCTAATAATAGTTAATTTCCCCCTTATTAAGACATTAGCGGCTATAAATACGTAGGAATTGACAATTTGACGTGTATTTTTTTAATTTTTGGTGTATGTCGCAAACGAGGTTCTGAGTCTATGGTCTTGTAACATGTTATCAGGTTCTACGATCGCATTAAAATTACTCTAATTATTTTTATTAATTTATAAAAATTGGCACATGGAATAAATATGTTAGAAATACGCAAAAAGTACTTAAGCATAAAATATAACTTACAAAACTAATACATGATTTTATTTGTTATTTAAAGATAACAAACATAAGAGATTGATATTAATTTATTACGAGATAGTAAACTGCTAATCTCGTTAGAATTTTATTAGTCAGACATATTTGTTTTAGATAAGTAAATGTGTTATGACTAGGAATTGTATTGTTCCGGTATATTAAAGAAGGGATAAAGTAATATGTCGTACTCATCCCCTCCATTTTATGGCACACAAGCTTATGGTCTTATATCTAATCGTAACTTGGTTAAGATTCAATTTTCTTATAGAAAAAGTGTGTTAAATCTCGTGCTGCAATAGCGCTACAATCTTCGACCCGGTCAGATAATTAATAATAGCTTAAAAAAGTAACAACCAAGATCAATATTATTTAACAACTTCTTTCTTATTTTCCAGATTACTTCACCCAAAGCCAAGAGTACCAAAAGTACGCTGCCTCAATGGGGGTGTCGGAAGCCCCTAAAGACGATTCTCCTCGGACGACCCCCGAGTTGTCGCGAGCTGATCAATCCCCATCAGAACGGCCTCCTCCAGGATCCGCAGACAGTGATGATGCAGATGAGTTCGCACCAAAAAGGAAACAAAGGAGATATAGAACCACGTTCACGAGTTTCCAGCTTGAAGAATTGGAGAAGGCGTTCTCGAGGACTCATTATCCTGATGTCTTTACGAGGTTAGTTGAAATGTTTTCTTTATTGCTTTTTTACATCTTTTCTGGCAAACGATCAGACGGATCACCTGATTGTAAGCAATCAGAAGAGTTACAACCTCGCCACTTATGTTTATCAACTAAATGTTTATACTTCCATGAATAAGTGTTGCTAATTTTCATTTGAAATAAAAACACACGCAGCGATTAATCATAATGTAATCTTAATCCTACTAATGCATGCTTAGTAATTTCTTGAATGAAATCCCAAAGACGCGGTGAAATCCATTTCCAGTACTTATCAAACGTTTATCAATCAAATAATCCGACTCTTCCTCATTTCATAATAGGATAATAGTGATAAAATGGCCGCTTAACGTCTGTTAACTTCTATAGCAAATTAATTGCTAGGATTATCTTAATCCGTCATAAATTAAATTGAAGTTTACAACCTTTTATCTTGAGTTATTTACGTGCACGTTACGTAACTACAGTCACGATAACAAATAAATTGTTCGCGGATTAAACAAGATAGTAAATACTGTTTGTTTTCTTTTATTGTCTATGGAATGGCGGGAAAAAATGACATCTGTCAACGGCACCGCCATTGAAGTTGACATTACAAATTACACAGGGTGCAGCAACGAATAAAGTAACAATTTAATTATCTGTTGCAATGCCCTTTCTGTCAAATAAAATAATTTACTACAAGATTGTAATTTTGAAAATGTAATACGTTTTTCTAAAGTTGAATGTCTTGAAAGAATATTTTTTTGATTTCATTGATTCCACTAATGTTTAATCAATATTCTTATTACTTTTCAGAGAGGAGCTGGCTATGAAAATCGGCCTAACGGAGGCAAGAATACAGGTAAGAAATCGTTATGCTTAATTTTATTTTCTCTCATTTAGAGAACTTACGTCATAAAATCAAGACCTTCTCTTAAAAAATCACTCATACTTTTCCAACGACTAAATAGAGTAGGTATATGGCCCTATCCATTGTACTTGCACTTCTATACTTCCATAAATAAACTCAATAAGCCATAAATACTAATAACTGACAAGCCATTCAATACAAGTACTTAAGGAAAATACGACCAATTAAAAAATTACAGAAAATTAAGGAAAATTAGTCAACAACCATTATCGGACCGTAAATAAAAACCGTTACAAATGTTCATAGAACAATCTGGATAAATCTAGATACACACAATTACACGTCGATACATAACCAGTTAATCGTGATCTCGCTTTGTATGATCTTTCCGCACGTTTGACGGCCAGTTTATACTGGTTTTGTGTAGCTTCATGTGTATTGTGAGTAGAATCTAAGGCTCGTTTCCACTTCATTAGTTTACACCTGCTGCCCAAGGCGAGCTAAGAATATATTACTCCAATCACCGTCTAGATAATTATAATCAGTTTTATAAACATAGACTTGTAGCGGCATTAAACAGCTGTTCTAGACTTATTGTTTGTAAGCGCATTGTGCAACTGCCTCGCTAGTCTAAGCCAATTTACTGCACAAAATATACTAGTATAAACTTAACTTACCTACTTACTTAAATACATCATTCATCATAGAAGTTACATTGTTCTATGTAGTCTGCTGTCTGCTATCTAATTGTATAGAAGGCGTCATCATCATCAGCCACTTCTTCCTAAAGTCTTACTTAAGCCCAATCTCCTTGCAAAGAATAAGAAAATTGACCAAAAAATGCTTTCCACGATCCGAATTCGGACGCGAGATCTCACACTAAATGAGTCGACCATAAAGGCGATCAAAATGCAAATATTAATAAAATCGTGGATATTCATAACATAATATTAATTTATCGTTTTTTAATCACAAGCTGGAGTCGATTCGCATTGCCCTTTCGATCTGAAACCACTAATTCCCGTAGTTTCAAGGACCTGTCGTGCAACCCTCAATCAGACCAGACCGAATCGAATGAGACACAGAAATGACTGCAGTGATAACTATAATAAACTACTTTGGACGTGGAGTTAGGAATCGCACTGCGTTCGTGGTCGGATGCGGCAAATTGCTACTTGTACAAGCTGTACCTATTGCACAGAAGTTAGATAAGGACACTGAGTTACAATAAAATAACATACTAGTTTTTAATGATGAAATTAGATAACTAATTTTTGTATGTCTAATGGAATGTTAAAATTGCATGTAAAAAGCTTTCTTAGCGCGCCTCAAAGATCCATCGGACCACCACGGATGGGGCCCAACAGGGCTGATGCCGATTCGGAGTCGCGGAGAACCTAACGGGTTACCGGGGCTCCGGCTCGAAGCGTAGGAGAAAGAACGGGGTGGTTTTTAGTCAGTAAGAGTCTGACACTCCCTCCCGCCCCACTCAGGCGGGAGCAGTCATTCGATGATTATCCCCCCTTAAAAAATAATAACAAAAGTAAAAAATTATATTTCTAAACATTTACCTACGACTACTAAACGTACGAACGAGGTGTTGAGCTTAAATCCCCAACCATATAAATTAGCTTATTAATTTCAAAATTGCCAACAATAATCAACACAACATGTAATAATATAGGTATTAATAAAGTACCTTGCTAATATAGGTAACTAAAAATACAGTTAATTAGAATAAAAACAACAATGCACTTCTGCATATACTTCGGGGAAGAACATGCGTGTCAAACAAGTAGGTAATCATTCACATAAAGCGACTGCTCAATCATAATAATTTAATAACAGTATTGTACTATTGAACGTCATGAATAGTCGTTAATTAACACAGTCTTTACACGTGTTAGCCTTTTTATAAGTTTCCTTATACCAGCTGATTATGAAATGATTACACTATTTAATATCAAGCTCAGTTTTCCTAAAAAGCGTTGTACATGAATGCCTAGATTATATGAGAATTAATTGGGGTTATATATCTTAAATCAGTTCATCATGCTATTCAATAACTAAAAAGAGAAGGGCAAAAGTATACATATATATATAGTGGCTGTTGGTCCATTAGTGGCATATACTTTCAAATATTATGTCCTATACACTTTTAGGGTTCACGAAAAGTTTATACTTAGATATGTTCTAACCTTGACTTTAATATTTATGAATTTCAATCAGTGATATAGAGTAATTTGGACCTTGTAAGCAAAGTGTGTGTAGTATATACCAAAAAACTTGATGCTATATTTATATTAAAATTAACGACCAAATACCAAAACTGTATTCTAGTGTATATAAACGACTTATTTATATCTTTTAATATGGAAATATTATTTGTTCATGTCCAACTTGACTCCTAATATAATTGGGTTATTTACTATCATCATCATAAACATTGATATTTATGCAACTAAGACTAACAAGGCGACAAAATATAAATATAATGACCCGAGATGTACGTCAATAAATAATTTAATAGCCTCCCTGTTATGTTATCTTCAATTATAAATGTAGATTTTGATATAATTGTTTGAATAAATGTTTATATATTAATTAATATAAATATAAAATGCCTATTTATGCAATATTATATATAGTTTAGCGTGTGACCTCTGCGGAGCAATTGGCTGACTTTTAATTTTAACTACATTTTACAATGTCGTTTGCATACTTAATCTTTTTTAATATTCAATAATAAATTGGAAAAATGAAATCACACGAGCTACATAATTGTGGGATTTTAATATTAATTTTATTAAATAAATATGTCTGTCTGTATGCAACTAGGACGTCATAAAATGAAATGGCTGTTAAATACAGGTTTGATTTGCCAATAAACCCCCAGGCACATGTCTATACAAATTGATTCGACGGCACGAACATTGTAAAAGACTGACATAATGAAATAGTTTCTATGAAATCACATACGCGTTGGCGTCAAACAGTGTCCATATAAATTATGTGTACTTAGTAAATTACTACTTACACGATAAGTTGTTATAAAAATGGTTTATAGGTTATTTACGTAGCTTATATAGCTTCGATCATACACATAATAAAATAATAGTGTAAAACTTTCGATAAATAATAATATACATTTTAAACTACGTAGCAAATGCTAATACTAAACACGATCAATTTCGTTTTAGTGGTCATCCAAGTAAAATGCCTCCTCCATTTATTCAACCTACAAACATTTCACGACTCCTTGTTACTCGAGATCTTTTAATAATCGTACGAAACCCACACTTATTTGTCGCAACTCGCGAGGGTTTATTTTGTTCACAATCGATGCATTACTCGAATACAAATTAGTGGGACGAAGGATAGAGTTATCGAGTGATACAATGCAATGGATATATTCGTATAATGGTGCTGTATAACGTTGCAATGTGAAAATGTTTTCTCTTATGATGATAATGATTCTTTTCGTCTATCTGTTTGCTTATTATACTGAAAGTGATACGTCGATTGCGAAAAAATTTAATAAGACAAAATGTTATTCGTTATTAATAATACCTCTATAATCTAAATCAGTTTGATAAAGTTGCCTATAATTAAATCAAAGCTAAAATACATTACCATAATTAAAAAGAAACAACTTGATGGATTTGAAATATTACTCGAATCTTTTTAAATACATGTAAGTGAAGCCGCAGGAGAAAAGGCAGAAGAAAATAACGCGAAAGAAATTCAATAGAAATTTCTACCATTACCCACGATACAGAATACACACAATTAAGTACGGTATCCTAAGGCCTATCCTCCTAAGGCGCGGCCAATTAATATTATTAATACAATATCCAAACAACAAACTAGCTACAACCCTCGACTGCACCCGTTTTGGAGTTTGACATTAAAAACTAACTATGTTCTTCCATAATTTAATGAAATTCTTGTATTTATAACAAGGTTTTGAAAACACAATGGCGTGTGTTGTGTCTTGTAAGGGACAGGTGTTGTATTCTTACTTAAGTTATGCTTTTGAAAGAACTTTCTATTCTAGCTCATTATTTAAGCTGGGTTCTTGTGCGCTTGGAAGTAGATAGTTCTCGTCGATTATTATGTATGTAGGTAGAATAGAATAGTTGCCAGGGTATGATAATTAAAAATATAATTAGTCCGTCAGTTAAATAATGATAAAATGTTAGACACTTATTTATTTTATTTTTACTTATAAAGTTAGATAAAATGGAGCGAAGTTTAGGAGCGGGAGGTCGTTACAAAGTGACGTCACAATGTGCTACATTTTGCAGCAATTTGTGACGCAGCAGTGGGCATTTATAGGCTGTTGATGTGATGTGATTGACATAATCTTTGAGAAACAGAACGATTCGTTTACTTTGAATTGACATCAGTCATTATTTTGTCTACAAACGGGTAAATATACATCTATCACACTAATATATATATACGTACATAGGTATTATAAATGTGAAAGTTTCTTTGTCCGTCAATCACTCTGAAACTACTAAACAGATTTTGATGAAATTTAGTATACAGCCAGGGTATGGGATGACTTAGGTGATAGGGTACTTTTATTCCGATTAAATGCTCCCATCAGAGTCGAAGTCGCGGGCAACAGCTAGTAAATAGGTACGATATCATAATTTTTCTTTAACGCTATTATTATTAACTTACATGAAATTAAGCGTTAATAAATTCACACCTGAAGGGGCCAGCAGGGGTGTCATGTTATTAAGACCATATAAGTAATCGATTACTATGATAGTACATAAGTATATTACACAATTATATAAAGGTGATATGAGGCCTGAGGGGTTTTTGAATATTCCACCTTTAGGTGATGACAGGGACATATAAAGTGACCTCATAAAAAACATAAAATAAAAACATTATACACAATATTAGATAGAACTTATGAACCATAGTTCCGCAACCAATAGTTTTTTGAACGAAAATCTACATATCTCTAAATGTTAAAATATGTTTTAGTAAATAATTTATTTGCTTATTTCTTGCTTTTTGTTGTGGTATTATTAATATCTATTTAAAAATGTGCTCGTTAGTTCTCACTCAGCTATATTCTGGATTCTGGATTTTTACGACACATCACAATTACAGAAGACTACCTTATAGGTAGGTACTATCGCGGAGAACCTAACGGGTAACCGGGGCTCCGGCTCGACTTGCAGGAGAAGGAACGGGGTGGTTTTTAGTCAGTAAGAGTCTGACACTCTCTCCCGCCTCACCCAGGCGGGAGCAGTCATTCGATGACTTTCCCCCCTTAAAAAAAAATAGGTAGGTACTGTAATAAGTAACAATTTAAACAATTTAGTTGAATTTAAAATGATAGATACTAAACAACAACAACCTCACACAAGAAAAAAAATAAGTCTTCATCTTTCTTTTTCCTCTTCTTTTTATTCTTCTATAGTAGGTATATCCACTTATTGACAGCAAAAATGTTTAAAGATTACCTACCTCTGTGTAGGTAGGTAATCTTGGAATGTAATATTTTGTACACAAACACACAACACAACGAAGATATATTAACTTCAGATTAACTTTCTACCAATCGTATTTGTACATGAACATTCCTCTTTTCAACATGACATACCCAGCAGACAAAGTAATTCATGAGTCCCTGTAATGACCATCACATCGCTTAACGTGGCGAATGAGGCGACATCTTTACATTACCCTACACTTTAACATGATACGACGCTCATAAGGTATTACCCTGCCTTAAAACCAAACGGCTACCATCGATTTAAGTAATAGGCGCGTATTTTTCAAACCCTTGTTTATTAAATGAGATCATTAGCAATTTTCTTGTATTATTACCAGCTGATTCGATCATGGCGCGGTTGGGCGCTAAGATTACGCTTTGATAGTGGATTTTTGGACGAAAATATTTAGAGGTTATGTTTAGTTTAGCAAGTCATATGCAAAATAAGTAGGTGTTGTTTTGTACTTGTTTAATTTAAATGCATTTAATAAAACGTTCTTGTTGATATCTACTACTTTGAAATTCAATATCATAATAGACATTGAATAACGAAAAAGTTTGCATTCAACGTTCGGGATATTCATCATTTCTAACATGTTGCAGCAAAAGCAACCTCAAATTGATAAACAAACTAGTTGAGAATATGTTAGTCAATACATTGAAACCATAATCATAAGAAGGTCGACGTTTTAATAGATATCAAAGTGGTTCACGTCCCGAGGTATCTATAAAATCTACAACGGTTTTATGGGCGCCCCGCTGGGCGCAGCAATAGCTTGTTGCGCAGTTTTAGCGCTCCAGCAGTCGATCGCAGTACCGCGCGGCCGACGTGGTCATTACCTTAATGCGCGACTCTGTTAAGCTATTAAACACAGCACCTGGGACGCAGTCGGTGCCTTTTTGCACCCACCGGACCCGCATGCCGTCAGCCAACCCGCCACCAATTACAACATTTATAAATTCGCGGCCTCAACGCCGTATGAAGTCATATCCGTAATGGCCATTGTAAACTTAATAGATCATACCTCCACACAAAAATTCCAACCATAACATCTACCCATTAAGGCTCAATTTATAACGCCGGCCATAACCGTAAACATAAAACGTTTCTTGTTTATCACAGCATCCGCTAAAACCGCATCGACATTTACAGAAACGCGTTTAATTTTTTACAATACGCCATTAATCATAAGTGAATTAATTTAAATTGCCATAAAAATAACAGTTTACATAATGGTTGTACGGTTCGTGACGAATTTTTTTCTCTTTCTCAACATTTTTGTAAGTGCATAAATATTTCATGGCATGATAATCGACCTTTTACTAAAGTATTGAATTGTAAACTTTTTGTTGTAAAAAGCTGGATTTTTGTTGGCAATAAAGTACGATAGTTGTCAGTTTGAATGGTGTAATTATAAATTTAATAACACTGTAGGGTATAATTGTACAAATTCTAGTTGATTATATCGATAGAGACGTGATATTATGTGTCCGCTTGTTCATTGAAAGGCTCGTAAATCAGGCGCGGCGCGCGACACGCAGCTAACGTCTTTATATTTGTTAAATGGACATATTTCTATTAGAAAAACGGTTAGCTTGTGTAATTCGCATCAGAATAAGGCTTAGTTCAGACTGCCGTGGTAAAGAAGTGACATGTTTGTCCTCGTTAGCCACACGTACGGTGCAAAGGACCACTGTTTTTCGTCTCAAAAAACGTAAATAAATTGTAAAAGACATCTGATGAAATTATGAAATATACATGAGTTGGTTGAACAATAATTTATTGTTGTTATAATATAATAAATATATGTTTGGCTCGCAATATTTTACGACACATATGTCGTGGTTACATTGTAAAAGACAGTTTAAGGTTTTCGACATGTTTTATTACTTTGTAGCGGAATTCAATATTTTGAGTGAATTGAATGATCTCATTGGCATAATGCTGCGGTTTGTGGTAGCTTGTATTTTTTTTTTAAACATGAAGGTTACATATGTGTGATAATTGTTCTTATTTTAAAGGTGATTTTCTTTTAATATGTTGCATGAAAGTGAGTCTGGTCGGACTCGGCCCGCAATTTTCTCATGAACTCGAATTACTTAGTCGGAATGATTTTCGACGTAAACAAAATATGTATGTGCCTGTAAGGTATATTTGTAAAGGAACTGTTAATACCATCCAGTTTTTTAATACTTATAATAAGTTACCATGTATCTCAACAATGATTACGCAAATAATGAAATAGGACATAGCAGTCTGAGCTAAACTAACTAATATAATTTGTAAAAAGGAAACAATGGCTAGCTATATCGCTTTAGGAAATCCCAAATTGCAAAAAAAAACAAATAGGTTGTAAATAATAGGCATAGGCAAATGATATTTATTTTCCTTGTTATTATTATCCTTTTAATTGTTTGACATAGGTATTATGAAATCAATTACTATTTGTCTAGTTTAGTTCAACAAATAATAGTCATAAATTCCTTAACCTACATTTAGCCCAGTTTTATGAAATGAACTTCTTGATGAACCCCAATACATAGTTCCTCGAGTAGTTTTTTTTTAAGGGGGGAAAATCATCGAATGACTTCTCCCGCCTGGGTGAGGCGGGAGGGAGTGTCAGACTCTTACCGACTAAAAACCACCCTGTTCCTTCTTCTGCACGTCGAGCCGGAATCCCGGTTACCTGTTAGGTTCCTCGAGTATAGAGATATCATTACTATACTCCCCAGTCCTCGAATCCCCAACAATCGTCAAATTCTTAATCCCCTACCATCAGGTGATCCGTCTGCGCGTTTACCGGCTTATACCATAAAAAAGGAGAGTGCTTAATATACGCTACTTTTTATTTACGCGAAAAGCGAAAAGCTTATCACTACCTACGCTTGCGACCATTAGACCAAGTAAAAGTAACATACTTGATCTTCATTTGTATTGTTTTAAAAGCTTCCTTTTTTAAATTACAAGGCATTGTTACAATACCAGTACAAATAATTTATTTAAAAAGGTAGAATTATTTCTCGTTGCGCAATAATGTTAATAGCGTACTAAAATAAAATATATACTAGTAACACTTGATTATTATGTTGAAAGAAAAACTTAATACTGTTATTTATTGCCTTCTAAAGTTCTAAGTATATGTTTGGTAACACCTTACAGTTCAATAAAACTATATTTAACAACTATTATTCAATGTAACCACGCGTGGGTAAACTAGAGGTATTCAAGTACTTAGGGATTATAAGTTTACTTATTCAGGTATTGTTCAGAAAATTAAGCATTGGAAGATGGGAGAATAAAAAATTTGCTATTTTTAATTTAATATTTCTAACCAAACCAAGCCAGTTTTCTAACCAAATCCATCTCTTCCAGGTGTGGTTCCAAAACCGGCGTGCAAAATGGCGAAAGCAGGAGAAAGTGGGTCCTCAGGCGCACCCCTACAACCCGTACCTAGGGGGGGCGGCGGGGGCACCCCCTCCCTCCGTTGTGGCTTCCATGCCCAACCCATTCTCACAGCTGGGCTTTGGGTTCAGGAAACCTTTCGATACGAACGCCTTGGCGCAGTTCAGGTAAGCATTTGAGTGATCTCCTGTTACTGTATTTTACTAAAATATAAATAAATTTCTATTGCATTTTAAATATTGAAAGAGAAAATATTTATTAAGATAATAAGTTTACGCAAATGCCTTAAAGCTTCATCCGTAAGCCATTAAGCTTATGAAACATTTTATCTGTATTATTTTTGGATGTTGTTATGTATTGTATAGACCTACCCCAATGTCAATGTTTGGGAGAAGTCTTTTTTTAGCAATGGACATCATGTAGCTGATAATTATGAGAAAGTTTTAGGACACTAATGTTGACATTAACTAATCATCACTTTCTTTCATCAACAGATACGCTGGAGCACCAGTCCTGGGCGCGCAGTACCTTGGAGCTCCTCTCCCTCGACCGCCACTCTTCAGCGCTCCCCTATACACTAGCAGTCCTCCCTTCCACTCCCTCCTAGCAGGCCTCGCGGCTCCACCCCGACAATCCCCAGACCCACCCCCAGTCTCACCCCCAATCTCCCCTGGAAGCGAATCACCCCCAACCCAACCTTCAGCTCCAGAAATAGAAAGAAGAAGCTCAAGTATTGCTGCCCTCAGGATGGCGGCGAGAGAACATGAATTGAGATTAGAAATTTTAAGACAGAGGCATCATACTGACTTGATTAGTTGAACGTGCCTCGTCCAGTTTCGGAGAACTCGAATCCGGTTTCCTAATTGAAGCTTGAACCTTCGCCAAGGCTGGTTTATGAACAAATCTAGATACGTTGAACGCTGGCACTTATTTGTAATATGTCGGGAATCAGGTTGTAATGGAAGAATTAATTATAACTGAATTTTACTCACTTTTTGTCGCTACGGTTCATTTTTGTATCAAATTTTTACGTCGCCATTTTTTGCGTAAATTCTTAGAAGTTTGATTGTCCCTTGCGTTCTTGACATTGTCAGATAAAACTATGAAATGAGAAGACAGAATTAAGTATTTAAAAAGGCTAGTACATATAAATACTGGGAACCAGTTAGATATCTTAATTGTAATTAAAAACTCGACTGGAAGACCTCTTGGAATACTTCTTCAAGATAATGACAAAAAGTGACAACAAAATTAAATGGCTCTGGTACTTAGTTATTTACAATTATACGTACTTAATTATTGAGTAAATGAAACGAGTTCCAGTGAGTTATAAAATGTTTACGTAGGTATACTATATTTTGGCTAAACGCCTTGTAAGATAACTATTGTAGTAAAGAAATAGTACATTTTATTATGTTAATATTATAATGTAAGGTGTAGTTACTTCAAATCCGTCCATTATAGGCCTTATTGTTATTTATTGTAGGATAAGTAATCTTAAGTTTTTCAAGTGATCATTATATAACTTATAAGAAGACTCCATGCCTTGTGCCTTAATCGGAAGTGGCTCCCTCTTAAAATGATGGCGTAATTAGACAATTTCTTACATGGTCGGCAAAGCACTCGTGATGCCTCAGGTGTCGCAGGTGTACTTGGCTACGGAGACCATTTACCATCAGGCGGCCCGTAAGCTGTTACTTATAAAAAAAAGTATTATTTTTCATATAAATATTATCTATTTAAATCATTGTTTTATTTATTCATTACCTTCAGTACACATGCAAAATCTATTTTAAATACAGAAATTAAATCAAAATGAGTCTGTCTACAACCACATAAATGACTTTAATTCTTTTTTTAAATTGTATAAAATCGTGTGGTACTTTTACAAGCATATGTTTTTTAATACTTGGACTGTGTTTACGTGTGGTGTCGGTTGCCATTTATTTACTCAAATGACTTTAAAAATTGACACGTTCTTTTTTTTAATTTCGTTTTAAAAAAGTTTTTTTTAAGTTGCACCAAAGAGTATTGAATGTAAACCACAAAGTTTTGGTTAAAGAGAAATTTTTAATAGCTGCACAAACCACATTGTCTTCGCTTCTACTGTTTGTTAAAGGTTAAACAAAACGACATTATATGAATAATCTTGTATAAAATAAAAGTATTGAAACCTTTTACTTGTCATTTTTATTTATACTCTTAAACATACTTAAAACACTCTCTTTCATAAGCATAACCAAATCATCAGTAACCAAAAAAACCTACGTTTTGAGAAAGACCTCTTCTGAATAATTAGAGATTTATTTAACTTACAAGTAAGTACTCATAAGACAAATCACATATGGATGGAGGATGCTACCTTACATTTGGAAGTACAAGCAGCAGATATCAGATGGTGTAATAATGTTCTTACAAAACCCATGAATGAATTACAGAAAAGAAATCAATCAAAATTGCCAAATATCTCAACACATCAGCAATAACAGATTACGAAGCGTATTATTTATAATAGTAGTACGCCAAAATCGATCAAACACACAGACACACATACATACAGACAATAGTTCAAAACATTCAATTAGTTCAATAGGCCCCACTTTCGTTCAGTAAAATAACATTCACCTCTCAACGTTACCGTTCATCAATCAGGGCCTTATTACATGTCAAGAGTTGAAAAATATGGCAGCTTACCGTTTGAGGGTCGGGTCATTCATCACGGTAACAATGGAGCCTACATTAATTACATAATCGTATTCAATTAAATTGTAATTCAATAACATGCAATTACTTTAAGATCCCGTCGTGGGCAGTGCGTGGGTCGCATCCGATTGGCTTATGATTTTATGATTTTACTATTAACCATTAATCTAAAATTCAATTATCTCGTCGTTTGATTAAAAGAAAGCCGTGACCCACGTTTATTAGTTTTGTAAATTCCTACTAAAATCTTTAATGACTACTTTCCGTTCTGCAGCAGGAATAGAAATCGCTTGCGGCTAATTTCTAATGTAATGGTTTTTTGATTATTCAGTTATTTTTGTGACAAATTGCTGTGACATTTCATAAAGTGTAGAGAGATTTATAATTTGTCGAATTCCGTATCCATTCTTGAATCTATACCTAAATATTTTGCAATTTGGAATGCATCAACTGATATTTGTATGCGGTTTTACACCAATCACCAAATAAACTAGAACCTTACGAATTTCAGGAGCTGTAAAGAAAAAAGTCATATGTTTTATGATACAATATATACCTAAATATAAAAATTTAATATGGATTTAAGTATTCCACAGTATAGTGAACCTTTTTACTATTTTCTTGACCTTTACCATGGCGCATTTCTTGGCTTAAACTGTCAAACACCAAGCGGTCACCGGTGACCGCAACCTATTGTTCTATAATTGTGTCTGCAAAACCGGTACTCGACGAGTTAAGGCTGTACTATTAAAAGTTGAACTTGATGGCATAAAGTACAAGTGGTTTCACCACCAAATTAAAGAAGGTTACGGTAATAAAAAAAAGAAAATCAATTCTCTAGTCACCATAGACCAACAATTTATATTAAACATCCAGATATGTATTTGGAATTTAAGTAAACACTAAAAGGAATATTTATGAGCAAATAAATAATGTTCTCAGAGTACCAAAATCAGATGTTAATGAAAAATAAATATGAGTTGGGGTAATTTAATTGTAATCGAATTTTTATCCTCCCGAACTCATCTACCAGGGAACGCCTCCCGACAGCCGCTTATTATCTGGTGGTCTAAGTCATAAGGCAGAAACGATTAACTCAAAAAATTAACTAAGAAATCAAAAATTTAGTCTGCAAAACAAAACAAGTTCAATAAAAGTAACAAATATTCTACCAAATAGTCGATGATATCTTTTAGGAAAAAAGGGGCAAATTGTTTATAAAAACAGGGAATGAGATAAAAAAATTAATGTGCAGATATATTAAGCATAATAGAGGTAATATGTACAATGAAAACAATAACAACTTTGACACCGTTCTGCTACTGCTCAAGCCTGAATTTGACAAGCACCACTTCAGTACCACCGCGACCGTTATAAAAAGTATCAAAGCACATATACAATCGTGTAATAACATTATGTTCATCTAATTTAAAAGTGACCTTACAAGCACATACTTTCTGTCAAGGATTTTTCGACTATTTTTTCATTTCAAATCGCTTTTAACTTGCACCAACTCGCGGTTGCCGAGCGGGGTGGTTCCTTGCCAAATCTAATTATGAAACCACACAAAAAATATGAAAGAAAACAACATTTTTGTATGTTTTTTAACGTCCTAGAATACAACCGTGTGAAACGGGTCTGTCTGTTGTGACAGAAAATTAACATTTTATGAGAAGATTTTGAAAAGACAGGTCATAAAATTATGTTCATCTTTATTACACGTTGTGCCTTGTATCAATTAATTTAGAGAGGTACAATGAAGGCTGTATGCGCAATATTTTAAATTTAAATAACTTTAATTGATTTAAGCAAACAATAAAAAAAGGTCTGTAAATCTTGAGTTTCGCCTTGCCGGCCTTTTGGGGAGTTGAAGATATTTCTCGGTTTACCCTCTAATAATAACCCTTACCTTATAATAAGTACATTATGACGAAGACCCATTCATCCTGGATGACCAAAATTTGATAGGTTATGCACATCGTCTCTTCATAAGGAAAAAGTATCTAACTATTAATTAAAAAACGGTATTCATAATGCTAGAAAGTATTCAGCAACCTTTCGGTGTGGATAACAGACAAAACCAATTAGCTACAGTTAATTGAATAGAAAACCGTGGCTAGCTACCATATGTTTACTACATACAAACATACATATACCACATACATAATGTAAGTACTGATATCAACTGTAATTTATATGAAGACCAGAAGCAAATCATTCTGTTACAAAGTACCAGGGCAACACGACGACGCGGGAGGCGGAATCTCGAGTAATTAAACAAACACGAGTTCGGCCGGTCTTGTTAGTGGAACCACGCCCACACCTAATCAATTCCCATAATCGATACGCCCGATCACGATACAATCGATACAAACATCCGAATATCGATTACCAATAACGGTAATCAATAGAAATCGTCATAATGCACGCTTTGTTCGTAAAATACGGTATCTGTCCTGCGCGTGCGATTCAATTAAAATATTCAGACGTCGCGAATGTCTTTAATTCGTATCGAATCTTTAACTAAACGATGGGTGATTTCATACAATAAAATTAATTCGAAATAATAGATTTTGTACGCTTCGTTATCGGCGTGACGAATCGATTAAAAAATGTTATTAATTGATTAATAACAGAAATATTTGAAGATTTTTATTAAGAAAAGTAAATGTTAACAATTTACGTGAGTTCGCCTCAAAGTCAAATACGATTTCGTATTTAACCAAAATTAATTATGACATCAGATCGTGGGTGCCCTTTACTCCAATCTTGTAGATTTCATTATTGTTCCACCGCCCACAATCCTACCATCTCATTGCTGAAAATAAATACCTTCCTATATTAATATATCCATCTAATCAAGCAATCGATCACAGTCAAGCAATCACTAGACAAACTAAACACTCATAGCACTAAAAGAAGTAAGATAAGCTTAACGTAAACATGTACTAACTCCCATTATTCCTCTTCAAGTCATAAGCGAACATCATTACTGTGTTACGCGGACCCTGGACCCCTAAACAGTCGATAAACTGGACCTCTTGCCTCCATCAATCAAAGCTGCATCCAATGAACATCAAGAAGCGCCACAATGATTTATCAGCGATCTTGCGCAAGCGCAGGGCGCGTAATGGCGCCCGATCACGACTTGGATCAAAGATTTTTTGTTACAAATAAATAATTTGATTGGGAATCCAATTGTGGGAACGTAGCTTTAGGATTAAGGTTAATTAATTGTTTAATTTCTGATAGTAATTCATAATTTAATAATGTAGTTTTTAGGAGTTAGTCGTGACTAAAGTAAGTGAGTTATGTAGACAAAAGCTGATCTACAGATCGGTCCCATCTTATATACTTCATTTTTCCGAATGTAGAATGAAAATGAGTAAAAGCAAATCCGAAATCGATACGAGTTAGTAGACAATCTGTAGCTAATTGAAATAAGTGGTGAAATTTTATTTTCGAGTAAATAAGTATATAGTTTAATTGTAACAATTATTTAATTTAAGAAACATACATATATTCTTGGTAATATACAAAACATCCTTCAAATAAATCAAATCATCTATCCAAATATTAATACGGCAACATCACTAAATTAAAATAACAAATGGCCGACAATATCTCATACCAGAGACAACGTAGACTTTAAAACAAAACTACCATAGACAAACAGTAACAAATGAGGTCGGTTGAAATTGAATGGGCCAGTTTTAAATGCGATATTTTTGTTTTAATATCCAATTATGGAGTTTTAAATTATTCGAGACTTTTTCATCGGTTCGAAGGCAAGTCTTGGACTAATTAATGATTTCCTCACAGTTGGAGATCCTTGGCGATTAGGGAACGGATCGGTATGTCGTTATGTTCTCAGTTTTGAAGAGTTGAGGATTAATGTTGAAAAGGAATTAAGACTTTTTTTAATTTAGATACTTCTTTTTGGAGCTTAAATATTAATGTAGATCACTGATCGCTGATCAAGATGGTGTAGGTAAGAAAAGGTTGTTGAGAATTCTTAAATAGGTTGTTTTTGGTGGGAATTATTTTCGATGTTAATATAAATAATGTGTTTAAACATTTGAAAGGAGAGATTGTATAATTGCAAATATGTGTTTATGTCTCAATTCGCAACAACATTACACTTTTAATTTTGCCAAAAAGATAGTTAGAAGGATACATAATTATAAATGTACATGTGTCACCCACTTTTCATCTGTCATATTAAACCAAGTATCATATATAACTTGTGTAAGTGCAGTAATCTATACAGATAAATAAAATTGGAGTATCTGTTTGTAATATTAAAAATAAAAAACTAATACCAAAATAACATACACACAAACACAAAGTCAAAGTCAAAATCATATATTTCAATTAGACCTGCAGCTGTAGCCAAATGCCATTTAGCGTTTGTCTACATGTAGAATAGAAAACCAAATCATATGGAACTGACGTAAATTTTAACA